AGAATTGGTTATGAAAACAAGTTCACATCCCTGTCTTCTGGCTGCTTACTTGAATGCAAGGTCACTGAGAGCTCTAGGTAGCCCAGGCCTTCTACTGATGCGGTTAGGAGGCTCTGAGAACCAAGCCATGACAGGACAGACTCTGTGTCCAGCAGACTGACAGTCTCCATAACTGAGTCTTCAACTCTGCACTTCCAGAGGACATGTCACCTGACAGTAGCCTAGGGTTTTGTTACTTCAGTCAGATATGGCACATTCACGGGGAAAATAATCAGAGAATAGACTATCACAGTATTAATTTTCCTTCTAAGAAATTCTATGCCTTTTCTATGCTGTGTGTCTTAAGATGCGATCTGTGCAGCTTGAATAGCTATTGTCATTTTAATACAAACCCAGTTGGTGCCACCAAGAGACTCCTGAATCTACAGTGAGTTTCAGATCCTGTAATAAGTGTAAACGGAGACTGCTTGTACATTTCCCTAAGACATACTCACAGCATAGGAGGGGAAATCCCACATCAAACAAGTCTCAAAGGGACAATAAGTATTTAAATGAAGACTTGAAAGCACACTTTCATCCAACGCGAGCCAGTGATTTGGGAGAGATAGGTTTTCTACAATGAAAAAGAAAATTATACTCACAAGTTTACTCCTTTTTTGTTGATAATTAAGCACAATTACAACAGTAAAACTTCTGAAATTTGAACTTTAAGATGATTAAAGGTTCATGGTTTTTGAATGCCCTTAAGTCAGTGGCTTGAATGAAAAAAACTTATCTGACATTGGGCTAGGAAATGACAACTATCTGCTTAAGTGGCTGTCTGCTGGAGGAACCGCTTTCTTTTTTCTACAAATGCCCATTAATGAAGACTGACTTTTGTCAATTTACAAGCTCTGGATTAGCTGTCAATAAAACTTGTTTGTCAGTGTGACCTGATACCAATAGTCACAATAGAGCAGAGGGCACCTGCTTCTGTGCCTGGAGAGTGGGGGTGGCTGTGTTTTCCATTCTGGTCCTTCCCTACAATGTTAGAATTTGTATTTAGCATTTTTTGTCTTACAGTAGACATATTACAAAATTAAAAAACAAAATACTTGGCTCTTAAAAATCTCAATTTATATGGCAGAAACATATTTATATTTTTATGTCTTAAAAAACTCTTCTTTTTCCAAAATAACAATGATTAGTTAGAAAAAAGGGCATATATATATATATATTCAAAGTATTTCCTTTTAACCAAAACTTTGCTTTATGCAATCTAAAATTTAAAGGTTTTAGAAAGCCAGAATGTAACATACTTCAAGGAAATCCATTGTTTCTTCAGCCCCTTTTTTCTCCAGAAACCAGCACTGTTACATTATTTCCGTTTAGTAAAATATGATCTAATTTTATACCCTTCTTTCTTCCCGTGTAATTCCAACAGTATACTGACGAGGTCATCCAATTCTAGAAGTGTACCAACAATTTCTTATCACTCTTCATCACACTATGAGCTGTTGATTCTATCTATACTCTTGTCCATAAGGTCTAGTACAGGAGATGCAATGGGTTTGTAGTCGTGTTAGCCACCATGGCCATGCAGGAAGTATGTTTTAACCAGTGTGTATGCTTCCTTCAAGGTGTAGCAGCCATGCTTGGTCTGAACTCTGGACCAGCTGGAGAGTGACCCAGACCTCTGAATCCTTGTCATCTCCATCCTGCAGCAGGGTGAATGCAGCTATCCAACATGCCATCCTGCAGGAAACAAGCCAATGCTCCCAAGATGGACAGTGTTTGCTCAACCAGCAGAACTCTAACAAAGTCAAAGGAGGACACAAAAAACTGTGAGCCTGGGTCACCTCTGCTATGTTGACAGTAGGTGGCGGTAGAAACCAACGTTTACATTAATTCTGAGGCCGAGCCAAATTTTGGTGAAAAGACAGAGAAGCAATTGGGGTCAGCATGCAAATGTCTGTGGTCTTCAATGGCTCCATGAGGAATCTCTAACAAATGCATTTCTATTCAATAAGATTAGCTAATGAGTCAGTCTTTGTGTTTTGGAAAGTTCAGAAGTTAGGGGCAAGTGTTAATTTTACATCTCCCAAGAAAAGTTACACAAGAGTTGGTCAACAAATATTTGAGCATACACAAATGAGGCTACATGCTAAGTGCAGATACAGACTAAGTGTATAAATGTATAGAACCAAGTGTTATTTAAAACATCAGATTATTTAAACTCAAGAAATTTAATTTTATTTATTGTTTCTTTTCTTGTCCAAGTCTAAACAGTTCAAGAAATGATTCTACAAAGAACATGCAGCATGGGTGTGGTTTTCAGAGTTCTGGGACCACGACTTATCAAAACAGACAGACTAAGATTTATCAATCTTAACATGATGTTTTACAGTAAATTCATCAAGTATCCTGGCAGTGTTTCCATCCTGCAGTAAGAGAGCTTGAAATTATTTTCATGTATTTCTTGAATAACTTGTCAAATAAGTTCTGGCTTGAAAACAATCCATTGGGAAAGAATGTTTTGGATGTAAAAAGTTTCAGATGATAAAAATAAGGGGATTTTTTTTTGTTGCTCTTCTCAAGTAAAATGACAAACAAAAACACTCATTGGTGACAAAGTATTTATTCACTGGCAAAGAGAAAGCCTCACTAACAAGTGGTGCTGATAAACTGGACGCCTGCAGGTAGAACGATCCTCTCCTATCTCCTTGCAGAGCACGCAACTCCAAATGCACCAAAGACATCAACACAAGACTCGAAGCCCTGGATCTGATAGAGGGAAAGAGGGGGAAACACTTCCTGATGCTTGCAGAGCTAAGGGCATTAATAAAATGGGACAAATTGACAAATGGGACCACATGAAATTGAAAGGATGTCATTTGGAGATCATGGATGGAGTCCGTGACCATCATGGCTGGGAGTACGGCAGCAGGCAGGCATGGTGCTGGAGGAGTAGCTAAGAGCTCACATCCACAAGCTGCAGGCAGAGAGAGAACTGGAAACACTGGGACCTGTGTGGGTTTCAGATCCTCAAAGCCACCCCCAGTGACACACTTCCTCTAAGAAGAACATCCTTCAAACCCTCTCCAAATAGCTGCACAAACTGAGGGCAAGCATTCAAATATATGAGTTGTGGGGGCCATTCTACTCAAACCACCACAGGGTCTCAGCACCGTGAAAATGACTATCCATATAAATAAATAAGTAAATAAGCAAAGGCTGCTGAGGATATGGAGAAAGAAGAATTCTTAATATTTGTGGTTGGAAGTTGAAGTGGTCTGAATGATCAAACTACAGTGCATAAGAAAAACATTTGCCAGAACACTGCAGCAGAGACCACAGAGAAGTGCTGCTTACTGGTTTGCTCTCCAGGGCTTGCTAGGCCTGCTTTCTCATACAACCCAGGACTGTCTGCCAATCAGTGGCACCCCTCAGTGGGCATGGTCCTCCTATATCAATCATGTTTTCCCAGGAAGAGATTCACACAGCAGGCAGCTGCCACCAAGCCTTATGTCCGGAATTGGATCACAGGGTTGTACATGGTGGAAGGCAAGAACTGACTCCTGAATGTTTTCTTATGACTAGCACATGTGATAGATAGATAGATAGATAGATAGATAGATAGATAGATAGATAGATAGATAGATAGATAGATAGATGTTACTATTAAAGGACTAATCACCTCTTAGAGACTGTGAGCTTCTCTGTGCTGATATTGTTAGTTAGGCACTAACCTGCACCCAAGGGGCATACCAGTCAACAAACAAGCTAAGTCCTGTCTCCAAGAGTTTCCATTGAATTACCGAATGAAATCAAGTTTGTGCCGTTAGGTGGCAACAGGTGACAAACAGAAGCATAAAGGAGGGTAAATTCTGGGACTGCGGTGCTGCTTCAGAGAGCAGGTAGCAAGCTTCTACCTAGGAGAAAGTCATCCCAAGAGAAGGGTGAAGCCAGTGCAAAGGTTCGAAGGTGAGCAAGTTCCTGGTGTGTTCAAGGAAAGCTGAGCAGTAGGAAGGTAGAGCAGACAGCCCACAACAGAGTGAGTGAGGAGCCAGAAGTGGGAGCCTATGACAGAAATAGAGCAGGGTGGGGTGAGTCAGGCCATGCAGAGCCTTGAGACCCAGGGAAAAGAACCTGGGTTTCTTTCAGAGCAAGACAGGGAGGATTGCAAGAGAGAGGCAAGGAGGTAATTTACATATAAGGTTGTGACTCTGGCTTCAAGACTGAGAATAGACCATGAAGCTTCAGCAGGAAGAGAGAGGTAGGAAGCTGGAGCACAGACCCAGGGTGCTGGCTGGACCAGCAGTCACCTTGGACACAGTGAGAAGGGTCAGATTACAGATGTCTTTACAAGCCAGTGTCAGGGCTGCAGCAATGGCTCAGTGGGTAAAGCAGTTGCTATGCAAGCATGAGGACCTGTGCTCTGACCCACAGTATCCTCACAGATGCCTACTGGGCGTGGCTACAGGCTTGTGATCCCAGAGCTCAGGAGGAGGGAACAGGAAGTCCCCCAGCTGTCTAAGTAGCTAGACTAACCATATTCATACGTTCTCATGTCACACACATGCACATACATATGACTTCACATGCATAAGAACATGCACAGACTCCACACACCCACAGAAAAAAAAAAGATGTTAGGAAGAGTCAAATGCCAGATTTGAGATTTAGGAGAGTCCAGGAGTGAGAAAAGCCCCAGGATTTGGGGCCTGCCATCCACTTCCTGAAATGAAGAGCTTGTGAACTGGACAGGCTACAGGGAAGAGAGGAAGTACAGAGATCCAGAGCACAAATCTGGGAGATCAGGAGCTTTTGCTGAACTGAGGCCTGTTGGCAAACCTGGGGAGTCCCCGCTTCAGTAGATAAGGGAAGTGAGGCTCAGACATGAGTCCTGTACTCAGGAGGTAGGGCTTCTGCAGGCCTGGAAGAAGCTCTCAAGCCTGACTCCTCCTTCAGCCCAGGCATCTGCAGAGACTTTACAACAGGAAATGAGCTGAACATTGCTCAGCCCCCACTATCAGGTTTCAGAGGATGAACATCTGCGCAGACTCTCATGCCTGGCGTCCTGGAGGAACCAGATTCTATCCGTTTTAAAGAGCATGATTTCTAGCTGAGGAGCCTCGGCCAGGGACACACACCAGATGGCCAAGTGGAGGAACAAGTGAGTAGTGGGACCAACAGGTGCCACCAAAACGTTTGAGGTGTGGGAAAGATAAGTGCTGGCCTAACTGCACTAAGGCATACTGTGTAAGACATGGGAACCTGTCCTGAGAGCCAGAGCCCAGGCTCCAGCCCTGCTTGGAGAGTCTGCAGGCCAGCGCTGGGGTGGGAGGTTGCTGGATTCACCTGTGTGCTTCATGTGCCTGCTGCTGTCAAAGCCTTTCCTGCACCCCCCTCTCTCCTGTCTGACATGAAGCTGCAGGAATAAGGGTCCTGAATGGGGAGGAGTTAAGTGGGAGGACTGAGGATGAGAAACAAAGAAGACAGAAACAACAGCTCTTGCGTAAACTGATGATATAAGCCAAGCATGTTTATTAGGAAGTACAGCATCATTTATGCTATTTGAGGGATGGTAGGGGACAGCCAAGGTCAGAAGAGAGCTGTCAATGTGCTAAGAGAACACAGGATCCCTTAGACACAGTTGCCTTACGACTGAAAACCACAGTCCATGGAGAAGAGTCAGGTCCCCCGAAGCTACAACTTCAGTTCCTCTGAGGCACTGGCTCCAGTGTCAGACCAGCCTCACTAGTTTCACTCCTGGACAAGGTCGTAGAACTAATGTTCGCTTTGTCCTTTTTGGGGGTCCTCTGGGAAAGTCTTGGGTCACTCTAACACCCCACACTTGTTCATGTGGCTCTTTGGTTTTCTCTGTGTAATTTGTCCTTCCAGCTTCGTTGTCTCTGGATTATGCTCCCTGTGTGGTACCCATGGACAAGAGACTTCTAAATTCCTTCACAGGGGACTAGCCTGAACTCATACTGAGCTCTTGACTCCCCCTCTGTGCTACCTCTCATCATCCTACCCTCTGTCACAGTAATGGCTGAAGGATTGATCTTAGAGTGGGACACTAGAAAAGAAAGAATCTGAGAGACACAGAGTACTGAGTGCCCTGCACGTTCCATCCCTGGATCCTCCATCCCTGTCTTCCTATCCTCTCTTGCTCCTGTCCCTGTAATCCCAACACCCTTTTCTACATCCCCAATCCTTCTCCCTTGATTAGCATCCTCTAATCCTCCCTGCTGTCATGCTCCATGTCCTGCATCCTTCCATCTTCTTACTTCCCCATCCCTACATTCCCCACCCTCCACTCTCCCAATACCCACATTTCCATTCCCCAACTCCATCACCACGGCTAGGCCTGAGACAAGTCTTTGCTCTTGCAATTTTCCAAAGTCAGAAACCTAGATCTGCTGTCAGCTGCTACTGTTGGGAACTGTGCCCTCCTCCAGGAACACAGCTGCTTCTGCACCAACAAACCCAAGCTGTTTGACAGGGCCCAAGACTTAATTAAGTACCAGACAAAGATTCAGTGACAGTCATCTTCCTAAAGATGGGCTTCTGGTTCCCTCCCACTCTGGCTCCTCCCCTTGATCTCTCCATTCCTCCTTATCCTCATCCTTCCATTTTTCCCTGTCCTTTAAAGTTTTACACAAGTTCCTCATGGATCAAATCACTGCCATCACTAGGTCCATATTAGGACAATGGCTACCCTGACTAGGAGCTAACTGGGTCCCCTTAGTTACTGGGTCTTCAGTGTCACGTTACTTACTATAGCTCCGTCTATTAACTGTTTTCACAGATTTCTCCAGGAGTGAATGACAGCAATCACATGATCTACTGCAGCAGATCAAGTTAACTCTTTTTCTGGTTCATGAAGTCACCCTAACCTATTTCCCTTTAAACCCAAGAGATAAAGCTTAGCCCCACCTCCATCATCCCTCTCCTTCAGGAAGCAGCCAATGAGAGAATACATTCCCCCCTCTTCCTTTTACTAGTCCTCAGGGTCAGATAAATGACCTTAATGACCTAAAATAGCAAACCTTAGACAAGTTGAAAAACCTCCAATTCAGCATAACAGAACACTTGCCTGATAGAAAAGTCAAAGCAGTAAAGAGAACATCCACAGGCATCATTCATGAAGCTCTAGAGAACATATCCACCAATAAAACTTCCTCCCAGAGTTCTCTCTTTTGCTCTATAAAGCCCAAACACTTCACCAGGACACACAGTCTTTATCCCCAGGAGAGACCCGAGTTCTTCAGTTGTTCTGATCAGAGCATTATCTGTCGCTGTAGATACTGCTCTACACTTTCTTTATTTCCAGTTCTCCATCAGTTCCAGTAAAACACCCTTTCCCAGCACAGAAATGGCTGGTAGAGACAAGGATCTACTGCTCTTAAACTTGGAGCAGCGACGGAAGAGAAAACGAAAGCGGGACCAGTGCAAGCTGCAGAGTCAAGCATCCTCTGAGGGTTCTATGGCCATGGATGAAGCCCAGTCCCAGAAGGCAAGAGGCCCAGAGGAGGCTCAGCAAAAGGGCCAACAGGTCTTGGACCCCAAGAGAAAGCAGATGGATCTGGAGCCACAGCAGACCAAAGCCCCAGCAGAGAAGGACTTAGTGATAAGTAAGTACAACAAGGACCCCAAACCACTACTGTGACTTCTTCATCACCACTGAGCCCACCTGCTGGGTTTCCATGGTTAGGCTAATTTCTTGTCCAAAGGATTCACAGGCCCAGGAGAGCCTGGAACCAGAAGGCAAGCAGAAACTCCTAAGTGAACCTTAGAGCCCCACACCCTCTCTTACACCAGTGCATTCTCGGGTCCCTGGAAAGGAGCACTCTGAAGCTTCAGGAGTGGGAAGAGGCTGGCATTCAGGAAAGAAGTGAGCACAGGTTCAAGCCAGTTCCCAAAAGGAGTGCCGGGTGACAACTTAAGTTACAAGACTTTGGAGCTGGGCCCCAGTGTTGGTCCCATCACCCTGGACAAATCACTTGTAAATAAGTTAAAACCTATTTCCTTGGGCTGTGAGAGTAAAGTGATAATCCATGTTAAATCGTAAATAGTCAATATTCAATAAATGTTCAGGTATTATAAGTACAAGCCCATGCAATTGCTGGTGCTGTTGTTGTTATAATAGTTTGAAACCCGGTGGGACAGAAGCTTAGAGCCTCACATGAGGGAGCTTAGGCTCACAGAGAAGACTAGAGATTCTGATGGAGGTCTAATATAGAACCAGTGTGAACTTCATGGTCCCAGGGAAAGATCTTTCATCATCAGGAACTCTGAGAGCATCATTCTTCCCATGTGACAATGGGGAAGGCTATGAGGGTAAGGAGGAAGGACCCCGGGCTTCTCCCCTGGCTCCTTCCTCTGCCTCTCTGACAACCACACAACTGTTTCTCAGAGCCCAATCTTCCTCATTTCAGGCTCCAGGAGGACACTTAACATGGAGTTCATTTTTAATTTTATTTTATTTTTTATTGAGCTATATATTTTTCTCCACTTCCCCCCTCCTACCCTCTCCTATGGACACCATGCTCCCAATTTACTCAGGAGATCTTTTCTTTTTCTCCTTCCTCTTCTTCCTTAGTGTATCCATGTCTGTCTGTCTGTTTTAGGGTCCTCATTATTGTCTAGATTCTCTGGGATTGTGAATTGTAGGCTGGTTTTTCTTTGCTTTATGTCTAAAAGCCACTTTTGAGTGAGTACATATGATATTTGTCTTTCTGGATCTGGGTTACCTCACTCAATATGATGTTTTCTAGATCCATCAATTTGCCCACAAATTTCAAGATGTCATTTTTTTTTTCTGTGTAGTACTCATTGTGTAACTTACAACATTTTCCTTATCCATTCTTTGGTTGAAGGGCATTTAGGCTGTTTTCAGGTTCTGGCTATAACAAACAATGCTACTTTGAACGTAGTTGAGCACATGTCCTTGTGGTACGATGGAACATCCTTTGGGTATATACCCAAAAGTGGTATTACTGCGTTCTGAAGTAGATTGTTTCCTAATTTTCTGAGAAATCATCATACTGATATGCAAAGGGACTGTACCAATTTGCACTCCCACCAGCAACACAGGAGTGTTCCCCTTACTCCACATCCTCTCCAGTATGAGTTGTCATCAGTGTTTTTGATCTTGGCCACTCTTACAGGTGTAAGTTGGAATCTCAGAGTTGTTTTGATTTGCATTTCTCTGATGGCTAAGGATGTTAAACATTTCCTTAAGTGTCTTTCGGCCATTTTAGATTCCTCTGTTGAGAGTTCTCTATTTAGGTCTGTACCCCATTTTTATTGGATTATTTGTTCTTTTGATGACCAATTTCTTGAGTTCTTTGTATGTTTGGGAGATCAAATCTCTGTCTGATGTGGGGTTGATGAAGGTCTTTTCTCATCCTGTAAGCTGCTGTTCTGTCTTGTCGACTATGTCCTTTTCTTTTTCATAAGCTTCTCAGTTTCAGGAGGTCCCATTTATTAATTGTTTCTCTCATTGTCTGTGATGCTCAGGTTATATTTAGGAAGTGGTTCCCTGTGCCAATGCATTCAAGTATACTTCCCACTTTCTCTTCTATAAGTTTCAGTTTGGCTGGCTTTATTTTAAGGTCTTTGACCCATTTGGATTTGAGTTTTGTACATGGTGATAGATATGGGTCTATTTTCATTCTTCTACATGTTGATATCCAGTTATGCCAGCACCACTTATTAAATATGCTTTCTTTTTTCCATTTGATATTTTTTGGTTCTTTGTCATAAATCCAGTGTTTGAAGGTGTGCGGATTAATATCCGGGTCTTTTATTCAGTTCCATTGGTCCTCCTGTCTGTTCTTATGCCAGTACCAAGCTGTTTCAGTGCTGTAGCTCTGTAGTAGGGATTGTGATGCCTCTAGAATTTTTTTTATTGTACAGGACTGTTCTGGCTATCCTGGGTTTTTTGCTTTTCCATATGAAGTTGAGTACCATTCTTTCAAGATCTTTGAAGAATTTTGCTGGGATTTTGATGGGCATTGCGTTGAATCTGTAGCCTGTGTCTTTTTATAGGTAAATTGAGTGCATTGAAATTAAGAAATATTAATGATCTATGGTTGTTAATTCCTGTTATTTTTCGGTGGTAGTGTATGTGTGTTTTCCTTCTTTGGGATCTGTTCGTGTGAGGTTAACCTCCTTGTTTTGGGGTTTTCCTTCTAGTACTTTCTTTAGGGCTGGGTTTGTGGATATGTTTTGTTTAAATCTGGTTTTGTCATGGAATATCAATGGTGATTTAAACTTTGCAGGGTATAGTAGTCTGGCCTGCAACCATGGTCTCTTACTGTCTGTAGCACATCTGCCCAGGACCTTCCGGCTTCCATGATTTCCATTGAGAAGTTGAGTGTAATTCTGATAGGTTTACCTTTATATGGTACTTGAACTTTTTTCCTTTGTAGCTCTTAATATTCTTTCTTTATTCTGTATGTTTTGCATTTTGATTATTATATGAGGTTATGTTTTATTTTGGTTTTTTTTTATCTAGTTTATTTGGTGTTCTATAAGCTTCTTGTACCCTCATAAGAATATTCTTCTTTAGGTTGAGAAAGTTTTCTTCTATGATTCTGTTGAATATATTTTCTGTGCCTTTGAGCTGAAGTTCTTCTCCTTCTATTCCTATTATTCTTGGTCTTTTCACGGTGTCCCAGATTTCCTGGATGTTTTGTGTTAAGAATTTGTTAGATTTAATGCTTTCTTTAACCAATGAATCTATTTTCTCTATAGTATCTTCAACACCTGAGATTCTCTCTTCTATCTTTTGTATTCTGTTGGTTATGCTTGCCTCTGTAGTTTCTGTTCATTTATCCAGATTTTCCAAATCCAAAATTTCCTCGGTTTGTGTTTTCTTTAATTACCTCTATTTCAGACTTCAAGTCTTGAACTGTTTGATTCCCCTGTTTGATTGTTTTTTCTTGGTTTTCTTTGAGGGATTTATTGATTTCTTCCAATTTTTTGTTTGTCTTTTCCTCAATTTCTTTAAGGGAGTTTTTCATTTCCTCTTTAAAGGTATCCATCATCTTCATAAAGTTACATTTAAAATCATTTTCTTCTGCTTCTTCCAGGTTAGAATGATCAAGACTTCCTGTCGTATGACCACTGGGTTCTGGTATTACCATGTTGGTTTTTAAGTTGTTGGATGAATTCTTGCCTTGGTGCTTACCCATCTCTTTTTTCAATTGATGCTGGCAGTGTCTTTGCATTTTGGTCCATTCCTTGCAGTGACTATCTTGGGAACTGTTGTTGGTTTGCTCTGTACTGTTACTGTCTGTGTCTCAGAAGTTTTGGAGCAGTCTACCTGCAGGAAACTCATCTACTGTCTGGATCTTGTTCCTCTCTGTGTAGTAGCAGGCTGTATTTCAGAGTTCTACTGAGGTTGCCAGGGGATAAGAGGATTCAGGGGTTCAGTCAGACTTGTAGTTTGCAGAGTCCTATGGGTGTTAAGGAAGTATTAGAGCAGCCTACATGCAGGAAACTCTCCTGCTGACTGGCTGGAGAAACTGATGCAGGTCGGGGAGGGGCCCGGGGTTTTGCCCCAGTATGGGGTGTCCCACCAGGCGGGTGGTCACTCAACTCTTGGTCCTCTCTGTGTAGTAGTAGGTTGTGTTTCTGTCTCTTCCAGATTTCTACTCCTATTTATTCTTTCTGCCTGCCAGCACCGCCTATCCTTTTGCCTTCCTATGTATTGGCCATTCAGCTCTATCTTACACCAGTTAGGTATTTTAGAGAGGCAAAGTAATACAGCTTCACAGAATTAAACAAATGCAACATAAAAGAATTCAATACATCTTTGCATCATTAGACACATATTCCACAGCAAAATGTAACCTATATTCAACTAATATTCCACAAAAAATATATGTATGTGTAATGCACATATATCCCCCTGAAACTATAGATCAAACACTATGAAACATAATAAGGCTTCAAAAAAAAGTTAAATTACCTGGTTGCAGACATACTCCTATAATCCCAAAACTTATGAAATTAATGTGGAAGGAGTCTGAGCTCCAGGTTAGCCTAAACTATACAGTAAGATTCTAACTATTTATGTGGAATAGAAACTCAGAGAGCTATATGAGGGAATAGAGGGTCAGAGAAGAATAGAGACTGGCACACAGAACTAGAGTAGATCAGCACAGGTGTGTGAATGTCATGTCCCTGTGCAGGACTGCTTCCTGCAGCGTTCTCTCCAGGACACTGTGGAGAAGGGTGTGAGGATAAGCCGGTCAGACCCCAGCCTTGCTACCATGACTCCTACTGCTGCCTCTCTGACAATCACACAGTCACTATCCCTTCCCATGGCCCTTTCTTCATCATTTCCCCCAGGCTCAACCATCATGCCCTATGTGGATACCAATACCCACCAGGGATCCTCACAACTACTGAGTTCAGAACATAAACGTCGGAGACCAAGTTGGACTTCAGATTCTATATGTGTTCCATGTGGATCTGCTGACTCTGGATACTGTAGTGACAGTAAGTGGAGCTGGCAGCTGGGAATGGGACCTTTAGTTCACATAGATGATGGTTCTTCACAGGTGAACCTCCCCCTGTATGGGGACCTGGCACAGGCAATGTAAATAGACCAGAGGAGCCATGATAGAGTGCAAAGAGTTACAGGCTAGAAATGCCCCTGGGCTCTGACATGTGAAGAAACTGGAACCCACAGGGGTCAGCAGTGAGCCTAGCCCAAATGGCACCCAGAGTTCAGCTCAAACTATAAGTTGGTTCTGAAATTCCAGGGGTCATACAGGTCCTGACGTTCCAGGAAGATGAACTCCAAGGAGAGAGAAGGCTCTGCCTCAGCTTCAGCTTGACTTCCCTTATTTCAGCTTAGCAAGGCTACACCATTGCCTCTTCTCCAGCATCAAAGTAGCCACCGCTCTCTAGTGCACAAGGTCTAGAGAAAGAGGTTACCTTGGCCTAGCTCACAACATATAAAGACAGACACAGGGCTGGAATTTAGAATAATGGGACCTGAGGAAAGATTTATTCCTCCTTCCTCCTACTGCTACTCTGTGAAGGTCCGGCCCACACCTAACCCTTGTCTTTCCCTTCTGTTCCATTCTTCCCACCCCACTTAAAGTCTTGAGAATGATGAATACAGAATCAAAAGCCATCGCCTGTAGTTGTCACCTTAGCTCATTTAATGCATGTTATAGAAAAGGACATTGTACAGACTGTGTTTCAGTTTCAGTATCTGAGCATCGACTCTGCTCACCCATGGTTTGCTGCTGACTCAGCATCGTGTGCAGGTCTCTCATCTTCAGGCTGCACGCAAGAAGGCCGGTGCACACGGGTTGAGGAAGACTCCACTGATATTGTATCAGATATTCTACTGTTCATATCTCTCTCCCAAGAAAGGTTGCTCCTATGCTGCCACCAGTATCCTCCTTTCGTGTTTTTTCCACACTATTCCCTTCTTCCAAGTTGCTCCATAAAACAATTCCACTCCATCACACACTTCCACGCTCATTTTCATTGCTTATCAAAGCTTCGTTTTAAAGACTCTCACCTTCCTCCCTAGGATGCCACTTAATAAGTCAGCTGTTATTTGAAATATTTTCATGGGCCCCCAAGAATCTCTGAACCACTCTGTCTGATGGACACTATATCCATCTTGAAGCTGTAGTTTGAACACTAAGAAAATCAAAAGGCTTCAAACATATGACAACTGGTCATAGACATATTCCTATAATCCTAGAAAGTGTGAAATTAATGCAGGAAAATAGGAGCTCAAGGCAAGCCTGAACTACACAGTAAGAGCCTACCTATCCTCATGGGGTAGAAGCTCAGAGACCCACGGGAGGGAATTGAGACTCAGGGAAGAATGGAGACTCACACTTAGGACTAGAGTAGATCAGCATAGGTGTGTCAACTTAATGGTCCCAGTGCTGGATCACTTCCTGCAGGACCTGTAAGAGCATCACTCTCTCCAGAACACTGTGGAGAAGAGTATGTGGATAAGCAGGTAGGATCCTGGCCTTGCTGCCCTGACTGCTACTGTTGCCTCTCTGACAATCACACAATCACTGTCCCTTCCCATGGCCATCATTTACAGGTGCAGTAATGCCATCCTCTGTGGGTTCTCCACGAATAAGATCAAGGTATGGATATTGGAAACCAATTAAGAAATCAGACTATAGGAGGCTGTTTGATGATACAAGGAATTCTGAGGAGTCTGAAATCAAAACCCAAGGTAAGCTGAGCTGGCAGCTGGCATTGGGACTTTTAATGACATGGATGGTGGTTCCTCACATGTGAGCCTCTGTTTGGTTGTGTTTTACTCTTGGCTCTTTAAAATGTAGCTGTGTGTCATTGACTGTTTTGAGGGCCTGCCATCTACATCCCAAATAAATCACAGGGAGTTTTATTATTACTTGTAAATTCCTGACCTCACCTTGGGTTCTTCCTAGCCAGTTTCTCCTAAACTATATCATCTACCTTTTCCCCTGGGCTTTTATCTTTCTCTGTTCTATTATACTTTCTTGACTTCTTACTTTATGACTGGCTGTGTAGCTAGATGGCTGACCCCTGGTGTCCTCTTCTCCTTTAGTTCTAGTTCCTTCTTCTGGGCTCTTTTCCTCCTGTTTATGTCTCTGCCTGCCAGCCCGGCCTGTTCTCTCTCCTGCCTTTCTATTGCTCTTTCAGCTCCTTGTTAGACCAATAGGGTGTTATAGACAGACAAAATAACACAGCTTCACAGAGTTCAACAAATGCAACAAAAAAGGGTTCAACCCATCTTTGCATCATTAAAACAAATGTTCCATAGCATAACAAATATAACACATCTTAAAATAATATTTCATGACATTCCCCCTTTTTTCATTGCTTCTAAGTACGAACGGGCTGTCACATCTGAGAACATAACATAATATCTAACAACAGCTTCATAGCAAATGCTCAATCCACATGGCATGCTTTGTGACATATCAAGTGGAAAGGAGAGAAACTGAGTAAGGGACATGATACCTGATACTGTAGGTTCTCTGGGTCTCTGACTGATGGGGAAGCTCAGCCAATCACATATGGCTAGGGTGTGGCCGCCTGGAGCCCAGGTAGATAAACTGGGGTAGATAGGTGCTCTCTGAGTGGTGCCCATTGGACCCGTTTGGACTTCACACCCCTTTGGACTTCGGACCTCCCACTCGGGTAGCATGAGTTTCCCCGTTTTTCAATTATTAAATTTTATCTCCACGCTCCTCGCCACTGTTACACACTTCGGCTCTTCTCCGGCCTGTTCACTTGCATCCAGCCCAGATCCCCTCCCTCAGCTGCGGGCTGCTTCCCAGATTTGCAGCCACCTTTCCAGCTCCCAGTTTCGCTGCAGCAGCTCCAGCCCTGCTCCCTGCCACTGGAGCGCGAGATCTGTCTAGTGTGGCTAAGAAATTCACACAGCACACAGTCTGTGAGTTTAACTTCTTGATTTGAGTATATTATTCTGATTTTATGTAACTATTTGCACTCAACACTATTATTTCTGCTGTTTTCAGCTTGAAAAAATAAGTGGCCAGCTGAGGTTGGCAAACATTGGCCAAATACAGACAAGTAACTCTCTCTGTTTCTGTCTCTATCTCTGTCCCCCCTCCTCCTTCCCCCCCCCTCTGTGTTTCAATGGGGTTTGTTAACCCCTAATCATAAGAGTATTAAAATTAACCTTGTTAGGATCGTTGGAGCAGGTAATTTCCTAAGAAAAACCAAACTTTTTAAAATTTTATTTATTATGTATACAACATTCTGCCTCCGTGTATTCCTGCAGGTCAGAAGAGGGTACCAGATCTCATTACAGATGGTTGTGAGCCACCACATGGTTGCTGGGAATTGAACTTAGGTCCTCTGGAAGAACAGTCAATGCTCTTAACCACTGAGCCATCTCTACAACCCAAGAAACCAAACTTAAGAACAAAGTTTTTTCTCTTTCTCATATTTTAGAATAACTTTTTTCTTATAGCCCCACCCTGCTCCCTCTCAAATTTATTATCTCTTTTATTTAATTATTATTTACACACACATATGCAACATGCTAAGTTCATGTAGTGTTTCATATGTGTGTGTGTGTGTGTGTGTGTGTATTTTATAGGACTTCTCCAGACCGCCTAATATTAGATAACCATCATTAGGGATATCATCCCTGGGATGTGTAGGTAACCTCAGGAACAGTGATAAAGTCTGTAGACTCGCTTCCTGGTAAGGCCTAGGCTGGCCAATCTAGAAAAGAGTTGAGCCCTGAGCCAGTACTAGGGAGTGCTGAGAAGACATAGCATGACCACTGCCTGGCTTTCTCTAGAAAAGGAGTCTCATGAGGAGTGCAAGGAGGAGTACTCAAAACTGGCATCCCTGGCTCCCTTCAATCCATATTCTCCTGCCTCTTCAAGAGACAAGTGTGTGGAACTACTGGGGACTGAAGATGACTTCTGGGGCCCTACAGGGCCTGTCGCTATTGAGGTGATTGACAGAGAGAGGAACCTGTACCGGTGAGTTAGCTCTGCCTGGAAAAAGGCTGTCTTTACCAAGCACATTTTCCACAAGGGACCCCCACAGATTGCATCTGTATATTCTCTATTGTGTCTCCTCCTCCCCTCACCAATCAGGGAGGCAATGCCAGTACTGGAATAAGAAGTTTGGGCTGTTATGAAAATAGGGGTCTTTATCATAAAAATTTTTCTGACATACCAAACGGAAGAGCACAAGAATTCCATGTCCAAATGCTCAGTTCCAGCAATCATTTTTCCAAGTTTGTTTCAACTACTCACATTCCCCCTTTTCACGCTATCACAGTAGTGTGAGTCCAGAATATCAGGTGACTTCACTCATAAACATTTCACTATTTCTCCCCCATACTTAAGACAGGACCTCGTCTTCCATGACCAGCACACCATCACCACATCAACAGAGCTGATGTGAGTCCATTCCATCTAAACATCTGTGCTCAACTTTGCTTATCATCTTAATTGTTGGTTTTCTGCAGATTATTTTATTCAACCCCCTCATTATATTTCATTTCTCTTTCTCATAGATATCCTTAAATATATACTTCAGGAACAAAAGTCTAAAAACTGAAGATGGACCTCAGTGGTAGAGCCTTTGGCGAGTGTGCATGGTCCTAGCTGGAGCCCCAAAACTTTGCTCTAGATCACTCAGTATTTACAGATCTATAAGATGGCATTGTCATTATCCATATATATATAAACAGATCTGGGATAAGTGACTTAGCCAGGGATCCACATACAGCTAGAAGTGGAACCAGAACTCAGAACCATCTGGCTCAAGTCTGCTGAGTCCCCAGTCCTGCCCTGGGTCTGCACCTAATGGAAGAGCAGAGCTGGCGTTCATTGGTGTCTGCCTCTCTCTTCTAGAGTCCAGTTCCCTGTGAATGGTTCTTACCACTGTCCCAGCATAGGACTCCACTTTGTGGTGACAAGGGCAGTGACCATTGAGATTGGATTCTGTAGTTGGAGCCAACACCTGGACAAGATGCCCTTGCAGGACAGTCACATGGTGGCTGGGCCTCTGTTTGACATCAAGGCTGAGCGGGGAGCTGTGGCTGCTGTGTACCTCCCTCACTTTGTGGATCTCCAAGGTAACCAAGGGAAGGATAGGGAGTTGGGTGGTGGTGATGGGAGAACCTGCCATGTCTTATAGCAGAGTAGAGGGTGATGGTGATGAGGAAAGATCTCATGGCTTTCTCAGCAGGGCAGAGCCGGTTATGGAGGTGGACACTGAGATGTTTTGTCCTCCCTTCTTGTTGGATGTATCTTGTTTCAAACACATGTCTCCCAGCCTTATGACTATTTCCCTGAGTGGAAAGTGATATCCTCAATAGCAATATTTGCTGGTGATGATTAAATGTTCTTTACATATCATGTCTCTCATGGGCCCAGCAGGGAACTGAGAATAAATTGAGCAATTTGAAAAGATTGCTGCAAAGTAAGACTAAAGAAATTAACAAGGAACATTGTTACCCAGTGTCTACCAACACTGTAATTCATTGAACAACTGCAGACAGGGAGAAAATGGGGCGCCCAGATTCTATTTGAGAACTGGAGCAACAGAAGAGGGGTTTCCTAAGAAATCAGGGTAGGACATAAAGTGTTCCAAGCTGATTCCTTCAGAGGTTTTTTTTCTTTTTATTTATTCTTCTCTCAGACAGTACATACATACTGCACCCACCCCTCTCTCTGCTATCACAGTTCTCCTCCTCACCTCCCCTCCCCTGCAGATCCACTGCTCCTCTGTTTCCCTTCAGAAAAGAGCAGGCTTCCCAAGTTATATCAAAGACACACAGCATAACAAGTTACAATAAGACTAAGCACAAACCCTCATATCAAGGGTAGACAAAGCAACCCTGCAGGAGGAAAATGGTCTTGAGAAAAGGAGTCAGAGATACTCCCACTGTTAGGAGTCCCACAAGAACAACAAGCTAGACAAGCACAGCATGTAACCAAAAAGAAGATGTTTTAAATAAATACCAAGTTCACAGTGAAAGATCTCATAAAGTATTACTATATTCCTGTAATCCTAGTGCTTCTGGGACTGAGGCAGGACAATTTAGAATTCAAATGCAGCCTAAACTACACATCCAGATTCTGGTGCAGGAGAATTGTCTGTATTCTGTCAATCGTGTTTTAAATAAACGCTGATTGGTCAGGCAGGAAGTAGAGTTGGGGCGATGAGAACGGGAGTATTCTGGGAAGAAGGAAGCTCTTCCCGCATTCCAGCCCAGACCATTGAGAAGCAAGATGTAACCTGCCCTACTGAAAGGTACCAAGAGCCATGTGGCTAACATAGATAAGAATAATGGGTTAATATAATCTACAAAAGCTAATAAGAAGACTGAGCTAATTGGCCAATCAGTTGCATAACTTACGGAGATCTCTGTGTGATTTTCTTTGGGACCTTGCCAGCTGTGTGGTACAGGGCAGGACAGAAACCCCAAGCAACAAGCCGGCCCTCATGTTACAAGATTCTGCCTATAAAAGAAATAAAACACGAAAGCAAGAGAATAGGGTCTTGTACAAGTGACAAGTGAGGCCGATTTCCTCACCTTGATTCATGGCGCACAACACTGGGCCTACCACAGGGACCAGAAGAATCCAGCTCACTTCTAGATGGAGATGGTGTTTGTTCATGGTGTTGAAGATGAGTAGGTCCAAGAGGATGATCTGACAGTTGAAGAAGTCATAAAAACTGGAGAAGAAATGCAGACAGTTCCAGCTGATATGAGAACCATGAATAGAAAACAAGCAAAGCATCCCTCAGATTAAAAATATTTGCAATTAATGCCAAGCCCCAAAGAAGAAAACAGATGAAGATGAAGAAAACAAGCAGGACTCAGTTGAAAAGAACTCACAAAACAAAGAAAAGTAATAGTTACATTCATAAACTCATGAGGTCTTACACTTCAGACCCTGACACAGGAGCACTGCTACCCAAATGGTGACTTCCCACTGTGTCTAAGGAGGCCAGTCGAGCAGGTCCACACAGAGCTCCTAGTCTCCCCAACAACACTTCCCAGTCACTACTCAAGCTTCTTCCCTGAAGGTCACCGCCCTTCCTGTTTCTTACTTCCATTCAGAACAGAATAGTACACCTTTGGAAAATTAAATATATGTGAATCTGTTAAAGTTTATAAAAGAACAATATATAGTGGAAGGACAGTCACAGGGACAGGTGGTGACACATACCTGTGATCCCAGAGTTCTGAAGACTAGGCAAGAGCAAGGTGACTTCTAGTAGGAGATATATAGTGACTCTCTACATCCAAAAACCCAAAACTTACCAAGTCATCTTAGATGCCTCAGGACATTTCTTGTTTTAACAATGAAAGTACAGCCCCCTACATTCCCCTCAAGTCCTAGGAAGGTCATGACCAGTTTCCCTAGCAAGAAGGGAAGTTGGAGAGGTACATCTTTTGAAATTCTGTGAAAATCAACACAGCACAAAATATGGGTAAGTGCCAGGATCTGGTGCTGGAGCTGAAGCTGACTTGGGGAGAGCCAGGGTTTAAGGCCCAGAACTACCACACAGAGAGCATTTTAATGCTGTGTGGTTCCATGTTAAATTATTGACTAGCACGTCATTGATAGAAATCCTAAGCTGTAGCACTTATGGGAGCAATTTCATTGTCTCATTTTCTCATAGTTGTTGATTCCAAAGCAATCACCTAACAGAAATATGATGCAGGAAGTTCATCTGTATATGTGTTGCTTCTATTGGTTAATGAGTAAAGAAGCTGTTTGGGTCTATGAGAGGGCAGAATAAAGCTAGGTGGGAAAACTAAACTGAATGCTGGGAGAAAAGAGGCAGAGTCAAGGAGATGCCATGTAGGAGAAAGACTCAAGCTGTCAGACAGAACCTTACTGGTAGGCCACATGCCTCATGGTAAAATAAAAAATAATAGAAAAGGGTTAATTTAAGATATAAAAGTTAGCCAATAAGAAGCTAGAGCTAGTAGGCCAAGCAGTGATTTAATTAACATAGTTTCTGTGTGCTTATTTTGGGTGTGGGCAGGCAGGAAATGAATAAGCATCTACGGAAATAGAAGTGCTCTTGGATAAATGACACACACTGCAGCACTGTTTGTCATGGTGCAAGTTGGAAGCAAACTCAGTGCTGAAGGGATGTGAAAATGGTAGCTGCAGAGTGGTCCCTCCATTAACAGGGATCACATCGAGTTGGCTGGTGAGATTCATCATCATGATCCTACCATTGTCAACTTGACACCCAAGAACATCACTTTAATTCGTAACTTTCCCCTTCATGTTCCAATTTAGTTTTGTCTTCTAAGTCAAAATGTAATCCAACTTCAAAGGTCTCCATAGTCCTTAATAATTCCAACAATCTAAAGTCCAAAAGGTCTTCCCCTTGACAGCCACTCAAGGTAGACTTAACTCTGAGCCCCTGTAAGATAGAAAACAAATTATAACATACATTGGTACAAAATAGGCATTGCCATGTCAAAATAGAAGAGTCAGGGCACACCAAGGACTGATCAGAAGACCACAGCAAGACAAAACTCCATCAGCAGAAACACCATATCCTGTAACTCTCTGTCCAGTTATGGAGATCATGATATCATCCACTGTACTCCAAAGGACATAGATAACTCCCTTCCAGTTCTACTACTTGAAGCACACATATCCTCTCCTAGGGCCATTTCTCTACTCCTTCCCTAAACCATAATTTAGCCAAAAAAAAAAAATGTGGTTCTGACATCTCCATTCCACCTTAGGTTACATTTTCAAAGGTCCGTAGGAGGAGCTCTCATGATCCTTACAGGGTCTTTGATTCAGGCACATTTCCTGGCCTCAGCTGCTATCTGAAACTGCAGCATGATACAGTGGCCCATCAATCTAGCATTTTTCATGGTTAAAACCTATAGGAATGGCTCTGCCAAGGTCTATTGACAGCTTGAGATGTTCCCGCCCTGGACCATGGCTGAATGGTGTGCTGACCATGGGGAACACCTCCTTGGGATTTGCATTTGTGGAACAGGGGACACCATCACTTAAGGCTTTCTGCCTTTAAATGAATTCGGATCTTCAAATGATGAACCTACAAAGAGTAAGACTTTTCCTGTTGTCACTGTGTGTTCCCTACAGTGATGCTGGTCTCTAAAAAATATAGGAGATTTTGTAGAATTATTCTGGATATTTTTCTGTCTTGAGACTTCTTCTGCCATATTATTCCCTTATGTTTAAATTCATCTTCCCTCATATTCAGGACATTAACCCAATAAATTGCATGAATGGATCCCTTTACTGTTCCCAATAGAAACCTTGCTACTCTCTGCAACAGTGGACTAGCCGCCACTTTCTCTCTCAACATTCTTGTCTTCCTGCAGCCCCATAAGCTCTGCCCTCAGAATGGAAGGGCTTTCCTAGTACTAGGGACAAAACTCTTCCACATTCCAGCCACAAAACATTTCCAAAGGCTTAAGAACCACGTGATTCTGTTTATACAGCAAAATCCTGAGTCCTGATACCAATTTTCTGTCCTGGTTACTTTACTTGTAGCTCAAAAAAAATACTTGACCAAAGGACCTTTTTAAAAAAAAAAAAATTAATTTCCTCACAGTCCAAAGGAACAGTTCATCATGACATGGAATTGTGAGAACATGGAGCATGTGACACCTGGTAACCTCTGTCAATAGAACGAGAAAGAACAGTGAAAGTTTATGTGCTTGTGACCTCCATTTTACACAGTCCTGAGTCCTAGTTTGTAGAATGATGCTACACACACAGCATATCGGTCTTCCCTACTCAATCAGTCCAATCAAGATAATATCTATCATGCCCTGAAGCATACATTCAAGATAATTCTAGATTTTAAGCTCATATTTAGCATTAACCATTAAAGAAATCCATCCAGCCTGTCTTTAGTGGACAAAGGTACCTTTAGGTCTCTTTCATAGCAGAAAAACTCTATCCTGCAGATAAAAATTTATGGGGAAACTGCCAGTCCCAAGACCCTGAAGCTGGTGATGGCAGCACCTCAAAGACCTGCTGACTGTCAGGTTTCTGACAGTTGCCTCTGAGGCTGTGTTCTTTACAGCATCTGTGGATGAAACCATCAAGAACCTCCACTCCACTCGGAATGCTCACAGCAGCTAGCCAAAGCCAAAAGTAAACTGCCTCCAATGAGGGGCAGTCTGCATGAGTCACCTCTGACAGCAGCTCACCTTTACCTCCCTACCATAATGAACTGATAATGCGGAAACAGCTGATAGTTCTGCTGTATTATAACTGAAAGTTAATTAATAAAATTTGCATTTTGGCTATAATTTTTTTCTTATAAACATCAAACTAAATACAAACTAAATAGAAATCACAACCAAAGCAATTTATAGAAGAAAAAATTTATTGGGGATTATAGCTTCAGAGGGTGAAACCATGACCATCATGCCAGGGAGCATGGCAGGAAGCAGGCAGGCTTAGTACTGAAGCAGTGGCTGAGAGCTTACATCCTTATTGTCAGTGAGGAGAGAGAAAGGAAATCGGAAAGAGTACAAGCTTTTGAAACTTCTAAGCTCACCCCAGTGACAAACCTCCTCCAGCAAGGCCACACCTCTTACTCCTTCCCAAACAGTTCTACCGACTATGGTGGCCATTTTCGTTCAAACTACCACAGTCATTCTAAGTCCTCTGATGCTAATTTCCCAGACAAATATAGCTCAATGGAAACACTAAATCTCCATCTTTGAATCTGTTCTTTCACAGAGGGTCAGGTGGACATCTCCTGGTTCCGTGTGGCCCACTTTCAAGAACATGAGATGGTCCTAGAAACTCCAGCCAGGGTGGAGCAGTACTACACAATCTTGGAAAACCCAAGCTTCTCCCCAGTGGGAGTTCTACTGAGGTTCTACCTTACCATCAGGAGCCTCGTCCCCATCACTCCCATCACATTGATCTACTATCACATCAATGTCAAGAAAGTCACCCTTCATCTCTACCTGGTCCCCAATGACTGCACCGTTCGGAAGGTGACACTGATGACCACAAAAGAGGGGCCAGGGTGGGATGGCAAAAATCTTGAGATGCAACAATTGAGCCCCTTGGATAGATTCTCCACTTGGAGTGGGAATATACTTCTGTAAAGAGAACACTGGTGTTGATGATTCTACCCTCTTCTGTGCCCCTCACACAAGAATCTCCCCCACCTGCCTTTAATGTTCCTTTATCTCTGCAAGGCCTTCTATGACCTCTTTCCACCCACCAGAAGGATGGGAATGCTCCACACCCAAGGAACTCCCTTCTCTGGCAGGGACCCTGCTCCCACAATGAACATGACAGATGCCAATAACTGAATAGACTTTATAACAGAACACAAGGCAGAAGGGTACCCAGGAGGTGTTACCACCCCACACCACACAAATTTACTGATCCTCCACCTTACCTTATTCAGACCAGATAGATGTATAGCCCAGAAAGCTAACTAAATCACTGTCTGCAATGTTCCCTAGGCCATTGATGATGAAGAAATGAAGTTTCAGTTTGTTCGAATAAACAAGCCACCCCCACTAGGTTATCTTTACATCGGGTCCCGCTACATAGTGTCTGCGTCCAAGAAGCTGGAAATCATCCCTGAGGTGAGCATCCAGGAGTTTGCTACTCTTCAGGATCAGATGCCAGACTTGGGAACCCTGTGGGGCAGGTTACTGGGCTTTGCAACAAATTGAGATTGAAGAGAAAATAATTGGGGCTTGGGATGTGGAAAAATGCATCTACATTAGGTAGAAGGCAATTTAGGGGACCAGACAGAAATACAGAAGGCCAGGAAAATTGAGGAATTAGACTCAATATGATATGGAGAAGGGACCAGCCTAACATGAACAGCAAGTCCTTGCTTGAGATGTGTGAGCAGGACTTCAGGATGAGCTCTCACTCATCGTGGATTGAATCTGAAAGGTCTCCTACAGGTGTAAACATTAAACACTTGACCCCAGTTACTGCTAATATTTGGGGAGTTGTGAAACAAATATGTGAGGCCTAACCATCAGAGGCAAGTCACTAGTGGCTGTCCTTGAGGGTTAGAGCCATGCCCTGCTCCCCACCTCAGACTTGGATTGCAGATCCTCTGGGATATAACAAGCAATGCCACAAGCTCCCGCCACCAGGAATGGAGCCCCAACTTCTATGCATTCCCCATTATAAAACTAAACAACATCAGCCCTTCCGTAAGTTGCTTCCTGTTATGTTTTTTGTCAGAATGAGAATAGAATCAGCAGGATGGGGTTCCATATAGGTCCTCAACCTTCTGAGTAAAGACATGTATGCAAAAAGGCTGTGGGTTACCTCGGTGTGAAGGATAGCCAGTGTCTAATGTGGTGAGCAAGATCGTGAAAGTATGGAGGTGGGGACAGCCCTCCTTCAAAGGATTAGTAGTTGATCCTCACATAGTAATTCTTTCTCTCTTCAGGAGTTAGAGCTGTGCTACCGGAGCCCTGGGGAATCCCAGCTCTTCTCTGAGATCTATGTTGGCCACATGCGTTCAGGGATTAAGCTGCAAATCAGAGACAAGAAGAGTAAGAAACTTATATGGGAAGCCTTGCTGAAACCAGGTAAAATGCGTTTAGGTCCAGATACCCAAAAGGCAGAAGAAAGGCAACTAATTCTAGGTGTCACGAAATAACCAGATTAGTTATGTGGCTTTTGCTAGATCCAAAACAGGAGGTTTGACCACAGTTTAATCTGTGATGCTGTGTTAGTCAGCGATTCCCAATTTTGACAAAATGTGTGAGAAAAACAACTTAAAAATAGAAAGTTTTGCTTTGATTCATGGTCTTAGAACCAAGTTTCAGTCCATGATCAACTGCCTCCATCTCTTTGCACCTAATGTGAAACAGGATATCATGGATAGGAGCTTGTGAGAGAAGAGGCTGTTTATCTGGTACCTCTGAAGCGGAGAGGTGGGAGAGAGCAGGAGTTAAGATTAAGAACCAATGAAGAGAAAAGGAGGAAAAGGGGAAGAGGAGGAGAGGAGAGAAGAGAGGAGAGTAGGGAAGGAAAGGGGAGGGGAGGAGAGGCGAAAAGAAGGACAAGAAAGAATAAAGTCCATGCAAATATTCTCTTCCAGGTCTTGCCTCCAGTGGCCTACTTCTTCCAATGTACACTCTTAAATAGTTTACATTCTCAGTGCTCACACAATTATGAATGCATTAGTGTATGATGTCATTCATAAATTCACAGCCCTCAGGACCATCACCTTTTAATAGGACTGCAGGACTAGTCCTTCAACACATGAGCATTATCATGTCCAAATCACCACATACTATAAGTCTCATTTTCTCAGTCTTGTATCCTAATTTCCTCCCCCACTACTCTTAAAGTGACAGATTTGGAGATGCACAGAGCATCTGGCTCCAGTTCACATAATATCTTAGTTTTAAGATGAAAGGACTTTGCTAACATGAGATACTCAATCTCAAATCCATACACATTTTTAAATAAATTTATTGACAATTTTATACATGCGTACAGTGCATTCTAGTAACTCCACCCTAAACCCACCTTCTTATCTCCCTCCTACTCCTGCCAGCCCCTCTTCTTCAATACAAATCTCTTTTCCACGTTCACAAAGTTTTGCTTTGCGTCTCACAGAGTTTAACTGAGACCAACTGTGTGCCCATGGATTTTGCACTAGCCAGTAAAAGCCAATGAGCTCACCAGCAGGCATACAGATAGAATGTATACCTCCCTTGTCTCCATAATCTATTATTGGCCAATAGCTTAACGATAGGTGATACTGTCCCTGTGAACAGCTTCCCCATGTCCAGCTGAGTGATGGGCAGGCCCTACTTGTGTGGTCCAGAGACAACAGGTGCAGGTGCTATGAGTCCATCATGGTCATGTCCTGCTTAGAAGAGAGCACTTCTGAGCCCTTCTCCATATCTTCTGTGCCTACATTCTTTCCAATTTCTCTTCCACAATGTTCCTAGAGCCTTCAGGGTGTGGTACAAATATCTACTTATATGGATCCCTGTTCTCAGTATCCCGCAGAGCTTTAGGTATCTACATTCACCTCCACTCACAGCAGTGAGAGGCTTTTCTAAGAAACGCTGAAAGCAGCTTTTGTCTGTGGTACAAACACAGTTATTTAGAAGGGCTTTCATGCTATGTGTAGTATGAGGCCACTTGTTTGTTTCCCGGCCTCCCGACAGCTCAGACCCGAAATAACCACACAGAAACTGTATTAATTAAAACACTGCTTGGCCTATTAGCTCTAGCTTCTTTTTTCCCAGCTCTTACATATTAATTTAACCCATCTCCATTAAACTGTGTTTCCCATGAGGCTGTGGCTTACTGGATAAAATTCCAGCCTCTGTCTCCAGCGGGGCTACATGGCTTCTCTTGAATCTGCCTTCTTTATCCCAGCATTTAGTTTAGTTTTCCCTGCCTAGCTCTGCTCTACCCTATCACAGGCCCAAAACAGCTTCTTTATTAACCAGTGGTATTCACAGCATACAGAGGGGAATCCCACGTCAGGAAAGTCCATAGCTTCTCTCAAGGGACTAAGATTTAGGAAGACCTGGTTTTGTTTGTCCTACTAACTTTCTATTGTAGGGATGGATTCTGTCTTATGATTGGGCCAGAAATGTAATGAGGTAGCTAATGGTTGCTCCCATCACACTTGTGCCACTACTGCAGCAAAAGGACCAGCTGGCCTGGCAGGAAGGTTGCTGATGCCTTTTCCTTCTCAGCAGCCTGCATAACACCATCTAGCACTATGAAAGTTTGGCATCAAAAGAAAGCTTCCAACTCAGTTCCAGCTTGAATTCTCTAAACCACACACCCAAGATGTGTGGTGTCTTCAGCAACAATGTCTTCTTTGCTGATTCTGATGGGGAACAGAGAAGAATGAGTATACCCATATTGTCTTGGAGACCTGCAGGGCCTCCCTGACCAAAAGCTCCTATGAAGATATCCCACAACTGGAACTGGTTTTTTTGCTTTGAAACACATTACTTCTCAGACTTCCAATTTCAAGCCTTATAGGGTGTCTTCCATTCTAATTCCTTTATGATTTTTATATTGGGTTACCAATTAATAAGTTTCATTGTGACTTTTAAATATTGTCTTCATTTTCTGGGATCCATCCCACTGACCTACTCATCACCTCCACTCCAACCCCTCTTGCTGTTTGAACATCTCTGTCCCCAGTATTCCCTCTCTCCCCTAATTTTACCAATATACTACTGTATTCCTTTCCTCCCCGAGGCCCTGAAAATTTCTAGTTTTCTGGTTTCCAGGGCTTCACCAAGTTAAACCCACAGAACTAAAGACTCCAGGGTAGAAACTGCATGAGAGAGATGTGGTGGTTTCTTTCTGGGCCTGGCTTACCTTTCTCAATATTTTCTCTGTTGTGTACACTTGTCTATCATAATCAAGTAGATTGGTACTGCCAGGAGCAGATGTGTCTCATTGTCATGAAAAGCCCTAAGTTATTAAAACATTTTAAATGCCATATTCTGTAGTCTTTGAAAGATATGAAGAATGCCTATCTAATTCAAATATATCTCTATATATCTAGAAAATCTAACATGACTACAAGCTTGCTATTATTGATGATTATCCATTAACAACCTATATTTTCTAATTATACATTACATTTTTAAATGAACTACCCAATCAGAATACCTTAATCAAGATCAGAAATACACATACATATAACAAAATTGACCTTAAACTTGTATCAATAAATCAAGATTTATACCAATGCAAATTATTTATATCTATATCAAGTAGCTTTCTACCAAGAATCAAATGTCAAATTATTTAAGCCAACAAGGGACTTAGTTAGTTCTGTATAAGAATTTAGTCTAGGATAAAGCTGAGTCTCTGATCTTGTGGGAGAAATGTCTATTTCTCATTTACATGTTTTTTCTCTCAAGGTTGTTAGGGCTGATGACTAGATTCCCTGTGTGAGTAAGGAAATATTCACCTTCCAGATTATATCAGAATTTCTGTAGTTCATTCTCAAAATCTCAGGCATGGTTGAGAGTTGCACAGAGAGCACTGAGTGTTGGTGACAGACATCCTTACAGATGCTTCATCTCTCCTTTCTTCCAGGGGATCTCAAACCTGCACAGCTCATGATGCCTGCAGTTCAAAAAGGTAAGAAACAACTTTATGAGGCCAGAGAAACCAATAGCATTCTGCTGAGAGATCACCTGACCCTTGAGACAATGGCAATTAGAAATGAGGAAACCTCACTAACTCACCAGGACAAGTAGAAGAGGTGCATGCTCAGGACAGAGTTCCTCTCATGTCCCTTGCTGCTTCCCATGATGACAGCAACTCCACCTACTCCCAATATGAATATCCCACCAAGAAGCCCTCCCCCGTTCAGGAAAATTATCAGACTAGTAACTGGCATAAGGAGGGCACAGATATTTTTCAAATGACCTTCCATAGGAAGAAGGGAGCCAGGGGTGCAGATGAGATGCATGAAAATAGCAAGAAGTGGGCAGCCAGTGAGAGAGACCATGGAGAAGCCTTTCTATGCTCAGTGTCAGCCTCATCTTCACCCCCTAGATATTCCAGCCTCAGTACACTTCGTGGACCAGCATAGGGAGCAGTTGGTGGCCCGAGTGACATCAGTGGACCCTCTCTTGGACAAGCTGCTGCATGGTCTGGTGCTGAGTGAAGAGCAATATGAGGCAGTGCGGGCTGAAGCCACCACCCAAGACAAGATGCGGAAGCTCTTCAGCTTCTGCCGCTCCTGGAGCAGGGCCTGCCAAGACCAAGTCTACCGAGCTCTGAAGGAGACCCATCCTTACCTGATCATGGACCTCCTTGAGAAGTCAAGCAGTGTCTCCGTGGGATCCTGACATCTTAGTGGCTGAGGTGTGAGCATTCGAGTGATTCCCGGCTCTGCTCTGCCCTAAGTTTCCAAATCTATAACCCAGTGACCACCTGAGTTACTTTGCTGGTGGCATTGTTTCCAAGAAACCTCTTGGGGACCCAGATATTCCCTCTTGGCCTTCCCCAGACGTATGTTCATGTGGGCTGGACATCTCAGTAAACATCCAGTGGGACCACCAAGTCATTCAGGCCTTGTCCAGCCTGCTCTCATGACCTGAGTGGCCAGGCTTGTGCCCACCTGATCTTCCATGATTCAAACAGGACTGAGGAACATGGGAATGGAGACAAAAGATGGTACTTTTCCATGAAAAGGAAAGGAAGAGGGCTTCTTAAACATTTCCTATTCCTTTTACCCAAATAATTTTTATATAATTCTAGGTATTTAGATATATAAGTACATAAATCAAACATTTTTACTAAAAATTAATCTTAAATAAATTTATTTTTAAACAACTCTTTGTTGTAATATAATTTTACCATTTGTTAAAGATGAAAGCAAATTTTCAATCTAATTTAATGGATGTATTTGTTTATTTTTGCATAAGGAATTAAATCTCTATTGAATAGTTGATGCTACAGACACAGGGAAACTTCAGTGTCTCACAGAGTTGGTGGATATTTTGCATTCCTGGTACTTAGTGCAGATGTGCAGTGCATATTCCAGAAGCTGGTGGAAAGTCTTTCCTAATCCCAGGACAGAATTCACTTAGCATCTCTTTATGTAACTCATCAACAACTCAAAATACAAATTTTAAAACCAAATGTTCTCATATAATACAATGTAAAGATGTGCTAACTTGATTCTTACATGCTGAAGAATCAGAATAGGAAATTATTTAAATCTTTATATTCCATAATGAAGCTATCGTGTTTCCATAAGAGCAGAAAATCTTGTGTATACAGGGTGAAGGGTCTGATTTTCCCATCACTTTATACAATTGAATTTAGGTTTCAGTTCCTTAAGGATGAACAAGTTCCTTTCCCACCAAAAGACTTATCACAGTCGACAGAAGCTTAAGAGAGGACCCATGTCTCCCCCTCACCCCATTGTGATAAAGTTCACCCAAAAAGGAAAAATACCCTAAAATGGGAAGAGAGAAGGACCTGGAGGCCAGTGCTATGCTCATCAGTCAGAGATTTTGAGTTATCATTCATTACCATAATATAATTTATATTATCATTCATACATTACACTGTCCAAACTGTTAGCCCAAAATAGATCCCACTGGGACCCAACCCCATCTTCCTGTTGGTACCCCAGATGCTGGTTCCTACTCAATGGCCACAAATTTCTGCTACAAAGTCCCTTACACTCATCCTGGATCTGATGCCCATGTGCTTGCTTCCCTGACCTGATCTACTCCTTAGGACCTGCTAAAGACAACCTACAGGGTTCTAAACACCTCTCTACCTGAATGGACCACTGATTGCCAACTTTGCCTGGATGCACAACCCCCTTACTCTAAGGGTATAGTTGTGTCCGCTACTATATGTAGAGGGTATAGTAGTGTCCACTAACTATATGCAGACTTCAAAAGAGTCCTATTATGGATGGGCTAGGGGACAAGCCCCAGGTGTCACCTTAGAAATGGCGCACAGTATGGACAGTATTGTTGGCCAAAGGAAACAAATTCCCCTCACTGGTATACACCTTTGTAATGAGAGCCAAATCTTCCCCTAAGGTAGCTCAGACTCTCTGGTACCTCTGATCATGCCTGCGGGGCCTGCTCCTTAGGCCTTACCTCTTGTGTTCACTCCCAGATACTGCACCAAATGGGAGAATTCTGTGTCTTGGTTCCACTCACACCTTGCATCCTCTATTAAACCAATGAGAAAATAGAAAGACAGCTCCTTCCCTCCCCCAGGCCAGGCATAAAAGAGCCCTGGGAGTAGTCACTGTTCTGGTCTCAACTCTACTCAGATCTGGGGTAGCTGGGTCAGCAAGACTAGGGACTTCAGTTCCCATATTGCAGTACAAAAAGTTAACACCCTGAGAGAAGCCATTGATAATGGCCTCTTAGAGCTGGGGGAATCCATTGTCCACTTAGAAGCTTCCTTCTATTCTCTGGCTGAAGTTGTTTTGCAAAATCATCATAGCCTAGATTTATTGTTCTTCCAATAAGGGGAATTCTGTGAAGCCAGGGGAAAACATGGCTGTTTTTATGCTAACCCCTCTGGAGTAATCAGAGAATCAGGGTCAACACTAGCTCAAACAGCTCTTTAACTGGTCCTTTTGGCTCACCATGGTCCTCTATGCAATAGACAGACTGTGATTTTGTTATTTCTCATTTTACTCTATGGTCCTTGCATTCTCAGTGCCCCTATAAGATTCATTAAGGAGTGAATCTCCACAGTTCAGCTAATGGCTTTAAAAATTCCCAATATCAACCCCTAAAACTGTCTCAAGGATTTGAGATGGAACCAAACTCAAGAGGGCATAAAGAGACTGAACTTCCCACCATTTGAATTTAAGTTTCAGTTCCTAAGAATGAACAACTTCCCTTCCTAACAACATCCCTCTGACAGCAGAGATGAGGGAGAAAGTCAGCCCCCACAGTGTCTCAAGGCAGTGACCAAAAAGGGCAGTTCTTATAATTCCCCTGAAACATGTCCCACTGACCTGGCAGCAGAGGGATAGCATGCAACCTCCACTAGCCATGAAAGCCCCCTAGGTCATACCTGGCCTAGCTTTGAAGTTTTTACTCTGCCCCTAATCCAGCCTTTGTGTTACAAATAGCTTTTTTTGCCCTATGTGAACCTTGTCTGAGAGTTTCCCATGGATACAAAGCCTATGCAAAATTTGGTTTAGAGGGAACCCAGAAAAACATGGTACCTCATGAATCATGTATTTGCACCTGGCATTGTATTTTTGGAAGCTCCATTCAATTTGTTTGGAGATACGGAAATCTACTAGCTAAAGTATAAATACAAGAAAAAATAAGATGCCTAGAGATGAAGGGAAAATGCTTCAGTTCACCGAGACTGAGCCCCCTGCAGCCACAGAGGCCAAGCTCATTCTCAAGGTGTCTCTGAGTCTTCATTTCAGGACCCGCGTGAACCCACACACCTGGGCCGAGTTACATGCCACACCCAGACATGCCCAAATTATGTCCTAAGAGGGTAAAACCAGAACCCCAGCCAGTGAAAGGTATACTAGTGTATACTGCTTGCTTGACCTGTCATGTTGGAGATGACCTAACTGTTCATGGAATTCCCCTAGCTGTGCTTAAAAGAAGCCTGCATTCTCCTCCAGTCGTAGCCATTTTGTACGAGTAGCCAACCCTGCATGTTGGTTGTTTCTGCAGAATAAATGCTCTCTGTTTTTACATACTACTTGAGCCTGCGGTCTTCCTTCAGCGATTCTCGAACCCTTATATGGGAAATGCTGTAATCAGAGCAAGCAATAGCCTAGACTATGAGCCGGGATGTTCAAGGAATATTCGTTCGAGTTGTGTGGTGTGCCACTTCCTGCAGTGCCAAGTACTCATGCTGTGTGCCCAGAGCCACAGGTGCGCACAAGTCACGTGGTGCAAACCATATGAAGCACTGCAGGTTCAGTGCAACAGTGTGAATTAATCTTAGCCATTGCATATGCACAAACCCTTTGGTTCTTAGCAAAATATTGCAACCGCATTTAGTTCTGTCATCCTATGGGAGATGGGATTCACAGTTTAAGAATCTCATGTACAGTGCTAAGATGGGTGACTGAACAGCACTCACACCAGACAGCTCACAACTAAAGCCATGGAACATCAACTCCGCAGGAACCAGCACACTATTTTGGACTCCATGGGAACCCACACACAGCTACACATTAAAATGCACATTTTCACACACACACACACACACACACACAAACTTTTTTAAATTTTTTAAAAGAATGATCATTCACAGTTGTCTCCACTTCTCACCCATCTCAGAAGTATCTATCTAACCAAATCTCACAGTGGCACTGAGGCTTGAGAGGCTGTGTGTGCTTGTCCTGAGAGTTACCATTCTGCTCACCTTCCCTGTCACCTGCTTCACAGCTTTAATGCCCGTCCTCTCAGGCAGATCAGGAAGGCTCATGTTATCACACAGCCCATCCGTATTTTCAGAAGGCACTGGTGTGGACGGAGAAAAAGAACACGCAGAGCAAGCACACTAGTAGAATTGCTATAACTAGAATCACCTGTAACATTGCCAAATCCATATGCAGATGCCATAGATGCAATCCTGGGGCACGTAGGTGTTTTCTCCTTGGCCCTCAAGTAACATGCTCATTTAGTTGCCACTGGGTGCCAGTGGGAATTGCTTCATGCATCTCAGGACCCACTCATGGAGGTGGCTATGCTTTGCCATCTCCAGCATCAAGAGTCAAAAATGTTCAAAGAATTTGGAGCCTGAGAGCCACTTACTGAAATGAGTTTGTGGGCTGGAAAGGCTACAGGGAGAAGTACAGAGATCCAGAGCACAAACCTGGGAGAACCAAGAGTTTTTGCTAAACTGGGATCTGTTGGCAATCTTGGGAGGCTGCGCTTTAGAGAATAAGGGAAGTGAGGCTCAGACATGAGTCCTGCACTCAGGAGGCAGGGTCTCCGCAGGCCTAGAAGAAGCTCACAAACATGACTCCTCCTCCATCCCAGGCAGAGATTTCTCAAGAGGAAATGAGCTGGGTGATGTGGAGCCTCCATTCCCAGGGTTCAGAGGAAGAACGTCGAGCAGTCTCTGATGCTTGATTTTCTGAGGACCCAGTTACTAAAGAAGAGGATTCCTAGCTGAGGAGCCTTGGCCAGGGACACACACATCAGTGAGCCACATAGAAGAGTAGGGTGAGTAGTGGAAACACCAGAGTCCACAAAGCTATGTGAGTTATGGGAAGATAAGTGTTGGCATGTCTGCACTAAGGCATAATATAGCAGACATGGGGACCTGTCCTGAGAGCCAGGCTCCAGCCCCACTTGGAGAGTCTACAGGCCAGCTCTGGGGTGGGACGTTGCTGAGTTCAACTGTATGCTTCATGTGCCTGTTCCTGTCATAGCCTATCCTGCACTCCCCACCCCCCTCCTGTCTGACATGAAGCTGCAGGAATAAGGGTCATGAAGGAGAAAAGTTATATGGGAAGACTGGGGATAAGGAATAGAGAAGACAAAAGCAGCAGCTGGGACCAGCAAGTCCTTGCCTAAGCTGATTAATTAAGCCAAGCAAGCTTATGAGGAAGTACAGCATCATGCATACCGTCTGAGGGATGGTGAGGCAGAGAGCTAAGTCAGACAACGTGTGAAGAGAACTCAGGATCCATCAGACACAGCTGCCCAGGGGGAAGAGTCAGTTCCCCAGAAGCTACAACTTCAATTCCTCGGAGACACTGGCTCCAGTGTCAATCAGGCCTCACCAAGCGCACTCTCCTGGAAAAGGACAAGGAACTAATATTCCATTTGTCCTTTCACAAAGCCTCTGGGAAAGTCTTGGGTG